ATATATGGAAGCTATATCCAAATCTGAACCGATCTCGATAAGATTTAGCAAAGGTATTTCTGAGCTGCATTTGATATATTTTCCCAAATATTGTTGTTACAGAGTGTATATTAGGGCTGCGGAGGACAAAAATAACAAATCGGATGAACAATATATGTGGAAGCTATAGCTATATCTGAACCGATTTCGATCAAATTTGGCATACTTATTTTAAGGCCTAATTTGATTGTACGTGCAAAATTCCATACTATTCGGACTGATATTACACGTTTGGTGCACAATAAAAGGTAAATCGGACGAACTTATATATGGGAGCTATATCTAAATTTTTACCGATTATCTCCAATTTCTATAGGGTTCGTCCTTGGTCCCAACAAATGATTTGTGCAAAATTTCATCTTAATCGGATAATACATGCGACCTGCATTTTGTTCTCAAGAATACATGGACAGACGGACAGACGGACGGACGGACTGACATGCATAAATCAACTCTGAAAGTGATTCTATGGAGATCCTCAAAAGTACTATGGGTCTACCTCGCTTCCTTCTCCATGTTACAAACAAATGCACAAAGACATAATACCCTGACCACCTTGTGGTGTAGGGTATAAAAATCTATTGCCTTCTCTTAATTGAGAAATGAATACTGAATATAGAACAAAAGACTTAAGCAACAAACTTCGATTTTTTGTCAGAGAACCATGTTAATATTGAGTAAAAATCGATTATATTCTCTTAATTAAAAATTGAATACTAAACATAAAACAAAAGACTTAGGCAACAAACGTTTTTTTTTTTGTCAGATAGGCATTTTGCTATAGAGGAAAAATCCAACACATTATCTTAATTAAGAACTGAATATAGAACAAAAGACTTAAGCAACAAACTTTTTTTGTCTATAGTCAAAAAATCTAATATCTCCTAATGGAGAACTGCACACTGATACGGAATATAAAACAAAAGACTTAAGCAACAAACTTCGTTTTTTTTGGCAGAGAGCCGTTTTAATATGGAGAAAATATCTATTATCTTCTCTTAATTAAGAACGAACACTCCAGCTACCGAGTATAGAACAAAAGACTTAAGCAACAAACGTTTTTTTTTATGAAACAAATTAAAATTGTTGCCTTTTTTGAAATTTAGCAAAAGTGAAAGAAACAGCTTTAGGGGACAAATATGACATTTGTAAGACGAGCCAACAAATGAGTTTAGAATGAAATGTTCGATGATTTTTTTTTTCAAAAATACTACTTCAGTTAAATGCAAAAAGGGAAAGTTCTCATAGTTTTTGGTGACATAAATAGGTTTTGAAAAACAAGAATCTAGAAATGGAATTTTTGGCGCTCTGGGGAAAATTGTTAAAAAAAAATGTATTCGAATAATCGGAATTTTTAAATTGAAACTATTTGAAAGTTTTAAACCAAGGTCCATATTTTGTGGGCCGTTATGACCATCTGATAACTAAATAATATGTTAAAATTCAAAATTATGATTTTAAATTCAAATTAAAATCAAATCATAATAATGTAAAATATGCTAAATTTATTGTCAAATGTAGTTTCCTGGTCCGACTTTATGTAGGCCTTGTGCTGACTATTATTTCAATTAAAATTGTTTCATGTTTTTAGAAGGTAAGCTATGAGATATAAATATTTTATTTTATATTTCTCTGTGACAGCTCTTAGGCATTATGGATTACAAAGTGCCAATATATACAGATTCTCAATCACAATTGGAAGTTGATATTTTTGAACCTAACATATCAAATAATAACCGGAAAATCTTAGAAGATTATCAAAGTAAATTAAAAAGGAGAGGCACGTATATCAGCGTTTTCAATGTTTACATCGGAAATTAACAAGAATACAAGGGTCAAGTTGGCCCCCTCTACCAAATTTTTTGAAATTTTCGGATTATTATTCCTCGGAATTCCTAAATTTTAGTTATAAAGTGCCATTGCCACTATTGCTAACAATTGTTTTGATTAAACATTTAAACCCTGAATCGAGCCACTACAGGGAACCTATTTTTATAAATGGCTAAAAACTTCATTGAATAAGATCGAAAAAAGTCAGAGTCAAAAAATAAACATTCATGGCTTAAAAAAAGCAAGAGAATTCGAAATCTACCTCAATGTTGGAAAATATTCATGCCTAGGTAAGTGGTATCGAATTTTACAAACAAAAAAATATAAACTCTAAGTTCGAGAGTTCTGAAGCTTCAAAACCTACCATAAAGAGATTGAACCCGAATCAAAGAATATGTTAAAAAATAAAATAAGAAACCTTTAAAACATTTTAAGATTCTATTTTTTTTACAATTTCTATATTTTTTTCTCAATTTTTAACTCAAATCTTCCCCAGCCTTCTTTTAATTACTTTCCAATAAAGTACAATGATATCATAACACCTTTGAAGACAAAAAAAGCTAATACAAAACAAATTGCAAAAATCCAATTTTGAGTTTAACTAAATCTCGTTTGGCCATATGTGAAGTGTTGCACAAAATGGTTAAGTCATTCTTACCCAATTACATAGAAAACAACGACAAATTCCATTAAAATTCCTTTCATCAATTGTTAATGAAAACAGATACAGATACAACCTTAAACATCTGTGTGTCTTAGATGTGTACGTTAAGAGCATTGCATATTTTTAGAAAATCTATAGAATTGAAATATTGTTAATTTAATATGTTTCACAGGGGCGTAGCTGTTTGTTTGGAAGCCAATTAGAAGGAGATCTGGAGATTTTCAATGAGTAGATACACATATAGAAGATACAAATATAGAAGATTTGGAGGACTTCTATACGAAATAGAAGATCTGAAGGATTGCTATACGAAATTAAAGATCTGGAAGAATTTCATACAAAGTAGAAAATCTAGAGATATAGAAGACTTGGAGCTCTTTTATGCCATTTAAAAAGACCTGGAACTCTTTTATGTCATCTAAAAAGACCTCTAGGTCTTCAATGCAATATAGAAGTCCCAGAGGTCTTCTACACGAAATAGAAGTACTAGAAGTCTTCTGTGCAATATAGAAGACATGGATGTCCTCTATGCGGTAAAGAAGACCTTGAGGTATTCTATGCGATGGAGATAGAGAGGACCTAGAGGTCTTTAATGCGATAGAGAAGACTTCGAGTTCTTCAATGCGATAGAGAAGACCTAGAGGTCTTCAATGCGATAGAGAAGACCTAGAGGTCTTCAATGCGATAAAGAAGGCCAAGAGGTCTTCTTTGGGTCTTCTATGCGATAGAGACGACCTAGATGTATTCTATGCTATATGGAAGACCTAGAGATCTTCTATGTCATACAAATAGACCTAGAGGTCCTCTAGGTCTTAGAGATCTTTTAGGCGAAAATGCGATATGGAAGACCTAGAGGGCTTCTATGCGATAAGGAAAACCTGGAGGTCTTCTATATGACTATGCAGACCTGTAGGTCTTACATACGACATAGAAGACCGCTAGCGATGAGAAGATCTCCAGCTCTTCTATGAGGAGAACTCCAGATATTCTATGAGAAGATCTCCAACTATTCTATGAGAAGATCTCCAGCTATTCTATGAGAAGATCTCCAGCTATTCTATGAGAAGATCTCCAGCTCTTCTATGAGAAGATCTCCAGATCTTCTAAGAGAAAGATCTCCAGATCTTCTAAGAGAAAGATCTCCAGATTTTCTATGAGAAGATCTCCAGCTCTTCTATGAGAAGATCTCCAGCTCTTCTATGAGAAGATTTCCAGCTCTTCTATGAGAAGATCTCCAGCTCTTCTATGAGAAGATCTCCAGCTCTTCTATGAGAAGATCTCCAGCTCTTCTATGAGAAGATCTCCAGCTCTTCTATGAGAAGATCTCCAGCTCTTCTATGAGAAGATCTCCAGATCTTCTATGAGAAGATCTCCAGCACTTCTATGAGAAGATCTCCAGCTCTTCTATGAGAAGATCTCCAGCTCTTCTATGAGAAGATCTCCAGATCTTCTAAGAGAAAGATCTCCAGATCTTCTAAGAGAAAGATCTCCAGATCTTCTAAGAGAAAGATCTCCAGATCTTCTAAGAGAAAGATCTCCAGATTTTCTAAGAGAAAGATCTCCAGATCTTTTATGAGAAGATCTCCAGATCTTCTATGAGAAGATCTCCAGATCTTCTATGAGAAGATCTCCAGATCTTCTATGAGAAGATCTCCAGATCTTGTATGAGAAGATCTCCAGATCTTGTATGAAAAGATCTCCAGATCTTCTATGAGAAGATCTCCAGATCTTGTATGAGAAGATCTCCAGATCTTGTATGAGAAGATCTCCAGATCTTGTATGAGAAGATCTCCAGATCTTGTATGAGAAGATCTCCAGATCTTCTGCGAGAAGATCTCCAGATCTTGTATGAGAAGATCTCAAGATCTTCTGTGAGAAGATCTCCAGGTCTTCTATGAGAAGATCTCCAGCTCTTCTATGAGAAGATCTCCAGCTCTTCTATGAGAAGATCTCCAGCTCTTCTATGAGAAGATCTCCAGATCTTCTGTGAGAAGATCTCCAGATCTTCTGTGAGAAGATCTCCAGCTCTTCTATGAGAAGATCTCCAGCTCTTCTATGAGAAGATCTCCAGCTCTTCTATGAGAAGATCTCCAGCTCTTCTATGAGAAGATCTCCAGCTCTTCTATGAGAAGATCTCCAGCTCTTCTATGAGAAGATCTCCAGCTCTTCTATGAGAAGATCTCCAGCTCTTCTATGAGAAGATCTCCAGCTCTTCTATAAGAAGATCTCCAGCTCTTTTATGAGAAGATCTCCAGCTCTTTTATGAGAAGATCTCCAGATCTTCTATGAGAAGATCTCCAGATCTTCTATGATAAGATCTCCAGATCTTCTATGAGAAGAAATCCAGATCTTCTATCAAAAAATCTCCATATCTTCCCTTAGACGATTTATTCCATATTTTGTGTATTCCCCCTGATTCCCACGCCCCTGCCCAGCTAACACATCTAATGCAAAATATTTATCTTACCTTGCAAGTTTGGAAAAATGCGCCAATACTTGATTTATGGTAGATGGCATCATTTACTATGCCAGCGGCAGAGGTTTTCGCCGCTGTGCAGCTGGAATTGTTGCCATTGACGATGGGATTAACACCAGTGCCAGTCGAGTTGCTGCTGCCACTGCTACTGCTGTGGGTACGAGCCAAACTATGTTTGGAATGTTTCAAATGTGGCTGTGGTTGATGTTGCTGCGATGAGGCCAAAGGCGCATGGGGTGGTGCAGTTTTAATGGCTACGGTATCCATTGTAGCCATTGTTCCAACCAAAATCGATTCGAGGGTGGGGTAAAATTAAGACAATTTTCTGAGGGGGAATTTGCTTGAAAATTGCTTTTATTTAAATGGAAATATTTATTTTATGCTTATGCTTGATTGAGAACATTGCAAGCAGTTAAATGCACTGGGGGTTCGCACTGTGTTGGGCAATTCACTTTTTATGTTGTTTTTGTTATGTTTTGTTTTATGTTTTGAGAAGCCAAAAAGCAGACGTTACGTTTTTCAAGGGAACATCCCTCTTTATTTTTGCTTTTTTATAAGGTTTTGTTAAAAGTTATTTTTTATTGCTGCACTTGAGCTAAGCCCTGACAAGGGTTGCAAAACTCTTCTTTTTCGTTTGTTTGTTTCGTTAAATTTTTTGTATGGTTGTTTGTTTTTGCACATATGTTATGATGAAGAACTAACTTCTTGACAATTATTTTAAATGCACCTGCTTTTTGCACAAGTTCGAGGTCTTCCCTCTGAAAGTAAATGCCCTTCGGACAACCAAAAAAAAAAGACGACAGGCAATAAATCGTTATGGAATAAGGTGCAAAATTTTGGAACACTTGCTGATATCGCTCACAATTTTAATTAATTGCATTCACTTTTTTAATTCAACAATTATTTCTTTAAATATTCAAAAACCATTATCGAATCACCAGTTATTTCCATTCATTTTTTTGTTATAATTACATTTTGATATTTTTGACTTCAAATGTCAAAAGATTAAACATTTACGTTTTATGCTTTGTTTCCAACCTTTTTATTCGTATTTTTTCACACTTGAAGATGTCTCAAGTCGCACAATAGAATCGAAAGACAACAAAAAAAAAGATGCGCTCTAAAAACTCACAAGTCAGTTTAGAGTCAAGTATCTTCATATTTCAACGTTTGCCAGCCCGTAGTAAACTCTGGCTGGGATTTATTCGTAAAAACACACACATAAACATTTTTAAATCCATATTTTTTATATTAGAAGTATTTCGAATAATATTTCATGCAATTTATTTCAATTATATCAATCTCCATTTATTTCTGTATATTTGTTTGGGTTTTCACATTTATTTCTTCACACCTTTTTTTGGTTTGTTTATTTTATTTTTTGTTTTCTCTGTTAAACCACACACTCACGCTCGAATCTGAACAATTTTGCGCCACAACGTCTGTTTAACTAAAGAGCATGTTAAACACTATTCTCACCTGGTAAGACAACAGGTAAAAATTCCCTCCAACATAAAAAAGGGGTTTTGCTGTTGCTTGTATGTAGCACTGCTCAAAACATAAAGAGGTGAGAGCAATTAACAAGTCTCTCTCTCTCTTTAAGCCACAATTTGTTTGGGAAATTTTGTAAAGGGAAATTATTAGTTGTTTTGGTTACAAGCAAAGAGAAATACTTGCATGGAATTCTCTCTTCATTGAGTTATGAATTGTTGACGACTAAAACATTGATTAAAACTCGAAGCATATCTTAAGGCGATATGAAAAAAATACTAATGCCTTAGTAACGACCAATTTACAAATTTTATACAGACAATTGTATAAAAAATGAAAAAAGAAATATTTTTCATTTCATATTTTCATGGAACAGAAATCCTGCACACATTTAATGGTGTATGGACAAAATGTGGACTTTTTATGAAAAATAAAAAATTGTTTATATATTCCCTAAAAATGGTCCTAATCTTCGAAAAAACATAGTATCGTAGGGTGCAATTTCGTTCACCTTCATCCCAAAAAAGAAATGTGCAAAATGTGGATATCATATTTTAATTTTTTGTTATTTATAGCAGAAGCAGTAGAGGGACAGGAAGAGATGGGTAGAAAATCGCAAATTAAGATTTCCATTTTAAAATTGTTAGATATAAATGTGTGATTGATGACAAATTATGAGTGATAGTATTACTATGAAGAATGTTCGATCCATTCGGACAAATTCATCGAAAATGATTTAGTATAAAGAAATTGAGGATTTGTTATACCCTTAATTTTGTGGCTACAGTGGGTATTTATTATAGAGCCTTAATTTCCTTTCTTTTCCATATAAAAACTTTGGAATTGAGTCATGACCGCCAGTTAATTTGATAGGTTGGGGAGTATAGTATTGTAATAATTCTGCCAAATTTAGATCAGGTTCGGATGTGGGTACTGCCGATGGTACCCTTTTTAACCCCCAGTATTCTATTTCTTATAGATTTTCTGCTTCGTTTAGAAGACCTCCTGATCTCATATATCACATAGAAGATAAACAGGTATTCTATATCGTATAGAGGACCTACAGGTCCTGTATGTCTTAATGAAAACCTAGAGGTCTCCTATGGCGTATAGAAGACCTCTTTGTTTTCTATGTCGTATAGAAGACCTCTAGGTTTTATATGTCACATAGGGGACCTCCAAGTCTTCCATATTGCTGAGAAGAAGACCTCCAGGTCTTCTATGTCGAATAGAAGAGCTCCAGGTCTTCTATGTCGAATAGAAGAGCTCCAGGTCTTCTATGTCGAATGGAAGACCTCCAGGTCTTCTATGTCGAATGGAAGACCTCCAGGTCTTCTATGTCGAATAGAAGAGCTCCAGGTTTTCTATGTCGAATAGAAGAGCTCCAGGTCTTCTATGTCGAATAGAAGAGCTCCAGGTTTTCTACGTCGAAGAGAAGAGCTCCAGGTCTTCTACGTCGAAGAGAAGAGCTCCAGGTCTTCTATGTAGTGTAAAAGACGTACAGGTCGCCAATGTCACATATGCGATCCCAGGTCCATTATGTCGCATAGGGTAGCTCCAGGTCCTCTATGTCGCATAGAGGACCTTCAGATCTTCTATATTACATGGAGGACCTCCAGGTCTCCTATATCGCATAAAACACCTCAAAGTCTTCCATACCGCTTGGACGACATCCTGGTCTTCCATGCCGCGTAGAAGACATCTTGGTCTGCTATTTATCATGGAAGACTTTTAGGTCTTCTATTTCATATATACCGCATAGAAGAACTCCAGAGAAGACCGACAGGTCTTCTGTATCGCATAGAATAATTCCATGTCTTCAAAATCGCCTAAATGACCTCTAGGTCTTTAATATCGCCTATACGACCACCGGATGACCTAGGGGTCTGTAATTTCGACCTCCTGTTCTTCACTTTTGTATAGAATATCGATAAGTCTTTTATTTCAAATGAGAGGACTCTTGGCCTGCTATTTCACATGGGATACGTCTAAGTGTTTTATTTTGAATAGAAGACCCCCAGCATTCTTTATCGCATAAAAGACACTCAAGTCATCTATATCGCATAGCAGATCTCCAAATCTTCATTTTATGCGAAAGACTTCTAGGTGACGCCTTTTACTTGGACGACCACCATATATATCTCATAAGGGAAATCCAGGACTTCTAAAGTACAAAAAAATCTCATGGTACTCTATATCTTATAACAGACTTCTAGGTGTTTGACATTCCCTATAAGTCCTCTTAATTGTATTTTCGTATGGAAAACCTCAAAATTGACGTATAGGTCTGCCGCTTCGTATATAAGATCTCTGAACATATGGTTTTTAATTTTAATAATATTGTAAAACAGGCCCATGAAATTCCTGTACCCCATAGCATTGTTCAGTCGAAAGGTCAAACCTGGCTAAAACTTCGATAATTGAACAATTGTCACAAACAGACTTTGAGGCCGTCTTGTTAAGCTTATATTTATTTTTTCTGCTATTTAGCCATCTTTCATTACCGTCCGGGTCAACATTGATTTTTAAAAAAAAAATTTAAATTACAAATGATTGGATTTCATAATTTCTGAGGCCGGCAACTTTTCTTTTCGCCAGTACCATCTAGACAAAATAATGTGCTCCACCAGAAAAATATCATTTTTTTTACTATTTGTTTAGTTTTCGTCGATAAACTATGAGTATAATCATTTTCAGTAACCTCATTATAACATTGCAGCTACTTTGTAGAGAAGAGAAATATTTTATTTTTCATCCTAAAACTATGCTCTGTTTTTAAGCAATGTTCGTTTCTTAAGTCTTTTATATGCCTACCAAAAGTAAACCAAAGAGAAATAAAATTGGATGAATCTAAGCCAGAGACAGATGTTGATACAACATAAAATCCATGTAACGGCTTAAAAAATAAATTAATTAATTTACATTAATTAATTAAATTAAAATAAATTAAAAACCAAAATAAGTGGTTAACATCAAATGAAATTGATGTATTTTTACTAAAAATAAATATTTTTAAAATAATTAAATTATCCTGTACTTTCTCACATTTTTAATGTTGTTTTTTGCTCTCCGAAAAATTTCCCAACCAAAAACAGTATTTTTAAATCCCTACATTCCCTGTCTTATCAGATCAACCCAAGAGCAACCAAAACAGACACACACAACATCCCAAAACCCGAAACACACAAAAACCCGTGTTTCTTTCTTTGGCTACAGTCGATCAGTGCCGACTTACAAGTCTGGCTGAGAAAAAACAAAATGGCTGACTTTTATGCTGTGCTGTGCCGTTTTCTTTTCTTCTGGATTGATGCCAATTTTACAGGCCACGATCATACGCGTTTGAGGGGAGATTGTTTGATGGGTGACGGGTCTCTGTGTGTGTTTTCGTGTTTTTGCGATTCTTTGTCTTGCTGTGGTGTTCGAAACCTAAGCAAACTGGAAATACAACAAATGGCAGGGGACAAGCTGGAGAAAAATGTTAAAGAAAACTTGCGGATAAAGCTGTGGTTTACAAGCACCCAAGTGGGTATTGCGAACAAGCTGAAAAACTGATGTAGAAGGCATACACGCACACACACGAGAGTATGTGAGAGTGTTGGTGTGTGAGTTTTTGCAGAAGACCATGGGTAAAAAAAAATTTCAAGAAGAACTCTCCATTGGCAAGAAACTTTGGTAACAACCAAACACACTGCTGACAGTCGGACATTATACCCGGACCCAAAAGCCAAATGTATGGAAAATGACAAGCTATCAGTTGTTGGGATGAGTGGTTTGAAGATGGGTTGTTTGTCTGTCTGTCTGTCGTTGTTGTTTTTCTTCTTCTTTGGATATTCTGCTTTACGTTTCTTGTTTTTATTATTCTCTTGGTTATTTTTTTTTTCGTATTAAATGCTGATTGCATTTTATATGGAGTTGATGTTGCTGCTGATGATTTTTTGTTGGTTCTTCTGTCATTTTGTGTTTTTCTGATAAGAGTTGAGTCTTTGTGCGTTTTTTTTTCTGCTTCTCCATCTTCTGGTTATTTCTTCTCGTTTGATTTATTGTTTTGCTATGCACCCAGAGAAAAAATGACAACATCCGTGTATGAAATGACCACATCCGTGTATGATAGTGTATCAACCACGTTTGGTGTCAAAATGAGCACGCTGTTGTCATTTTGACACCGAGATTTTGGCAACGATTTCAACAACAGATGTGCATGAAATGAGCACATACGTGGTCATTTCGAGCACGCCCCGTTGTCAGATTGTCAACGCTTCGTTGTCAGATCGTCAACGCTTCGTTGTCAGATTGTCAACGCTCCGTTGTCGGATTGTCAACGCCCGTTGTCAGATTGAAATCAATGGTGGTCATTTTTTGATATCCGTTCCTTTTCCATTTTATACCCTTAGTAGAAGAAACGACATTTTTTGAAAAGTATTTTATTGAACGAAACCAATTACATA